CCATTGCTTCTACCCAATCTGATCCAACAGAATGGACTCATGGAGCCCTGATCCAAACTTTACATGGGCTTAATTTGATACCAACCCAACCTGACCAGCACCATAATCTTCCAATTAAAATTTTTATAAACGCATTTCAGAAATCTAAGAGCAAATAATTTGAATTGAAATTTGGATTATGTGTTTCAAGGCGTCATTTCCTCTTAGTGAAAGAAGAAAAATCAAAACAAACATGAAAAAGAAATGCTAAATTTCCCTTTAATGTACTTATCACCTATATTGGATATTGGATCTATTCCTAGGTTCCTTTGTAAATGGGTTTCTGTCATGTAAAACCCACATGATCATGGAATGCGATGTTCCTTTGTTAATTGGACAGGATATATGTGCATTTATTTCATAGTCTTTGGCCAAGTTTGGGAGTGCTTATTTTTAAAAATAAGTGCTTAAAACAAGTATTTATTCGAATAAGCACTTATTTGTGTTTGGCACCCAGCTTTTTCAAGTGTTTATTTTAAAAAATAATCACTTATTTCATAATAGGTTTTAGGTGGTCTATTTCTCCAATAATCACTTATTCATTTAAAAAGACAATTTTAACCCAAGGGGAAAAATCACAAAGATTGAGTCGACATTCACAACAAAAAAGTAATGGTGAGATTCAGGGCAACAAATCTGTGTTCAATATTAGATTTTTAAAATGAAAAAAAAAGGAAGTTTAGAGAGGCCTTCATCAACTTGGACATAGATTCAACTTGGAGCTTGGAAAACCCCAACTTGGAACAAAGAAAAAAAATCTTATTAGGGTTGGTTCAAAGAAAAAAAAAAACACTTTACTTGGTTGATTGGTTGAGGATGAGAAAACAAAAAGAGAGGAAACCATACCTGGTTGATCAGTTTGAGCTATAGTTCCGCTATTGAACTTTGGAGAAGACAGTGGAGAAAAAACTATCCAAATTATGGCTGGTTCAAAGAACAAAATGGAAAAAAAAAAAGAAACACTTTACCTAGTTGATCATTTGAGGATGAGAAAATGAAAAGAGAGGATACCTTACCTGGTTTATCGACCAAGTTGTAACTCTACTACTAGATGGAGAAGACAATGGAGAAAAAATTATTGAAGAGCCAAAACCTATGTTTTTGGTCGATCAAAGGGCATAAGTGACATTTTGAAATCTAACCAAGGAGTATTTTAGAACCAAAATTTCGAATAAGTGCTTATACAATAAGCACTTTTAAAAAGCTGGAATTTTGGAGTTCTTCAATAAACTCTTATTTCAGGCTTATTTCCCAAATGCTAATAAGTGCTTATTGGTGTGGTCCTGACCCAAAATAAGTGTTTTTTTTAATAAACACTAATTTTTAAGCACTCCCATACTTGCCCTTTGTTCCTTACAAATGTTTTATGGAATTTTCCTTTTTTCCAAAGTGATATTTTCCTATCACATGAGACTTTGGATGCACTCCTTTATTTTGCCCATCACACTTTATGGAGGAAGTCATTGAGTTATCTCTTAGTTTCCAATCTTAGGTATACCCTCATTTATTGTTATTAAATTTACGTTGTGTGTGAATGACTTTTTATCTAATGTGGCCGAAGGAGTGGCCCTCATAGACAATCAAAATTGTTGGATTGAAAGATCAAGCCCTATGAAAACCCTCCATTGAAACTTTGCAAAAATAGGCATATTTAGATGGATGTGCAAAATGTAGACTTGGAAATAAACCTGTTCATGGGCCAGGTAACCCAATGGGCTAGCCCGATCTAAGTCGAGCTTGGACAGGATTTCAGGCCTACGGGCTTAGGATCGGGCCTGACCTTTTTTTGGGTCAGGCTTGCCAAAAAAGCCCGATCCGAGCCCAAGCCAAGCCCAACTTGATAATGTATTATATAATAAAAATATATTTTATATAATAAATAAATATTTAATATTTTTCTTTATTATTCTTCTCTTTTTTCAAGTAATAGTGAGATATTCCATTATTTTTTAGGTTTTGAGGTCTTTTAATGTAAATAAAATAGTTTTTTATTGAATAAAAAAAAAGAAAAAAGAAATATTTTTCCAATTTTCTGGCTGGGCTTGGGCTCGAGCTCAGGCTTCAGTTTTTATATAAGGATTTTCTGGCTAGGCCTGATGGTTGGTCCAAGCTCGGGCTCGAGCCTGAGTATATTCTGTTAATACAGAGGCAAAGCCCAGCCCGACCCATGAAAATGTCTACTTGGAAATGGGTCAGCTTGGATCGGGTTCAAGTTGGGTGAAGGAATTTTTGGGTCATTTTTTCGGGTTGGGTTGATAAAGGCTAGAGATTAACCATAAATATTTAGGTTAGGATTGTCCCACATGTTAGACAAGTCAATGGTTTAATTGCTTGGGTTAGCTAACCTTTGACCAAGTCAATGGGTTTTTACCCAAAAATATGGGTTTAATCGTCTAGTTAATGGTTCAATCGTTCAAATCAACATCAATTTCAAAAAAATAGGAAAAAACAAAACATTTTTGGAGATAAGTGACACATGACACAACTTGACCCTACCTCACTTTTTTCAACCATTCTACCTTTAGGTCACTAGATGGAGGACCCTACCTCACTTTTTTCAAGTTAGGTTGGATCAACTTTTTTCTAGGTCTAGAAAAGTGCAAATGTTTTATTAGGCCCAAATTTTTGTTGGTTGTCTACAAGTGCAACTAGGGTGGGCCCCACTCAAGTCTAATCCTACTTAATACATAATTTTACATGGGCTAGGCTTGGACTTTTAGTCCTTAGGTTAAGCTTGGACCCAAAAGTTCAAGCTTTTATTTATTTATTTATGTTTTTAGGCTAGGCCCAAGCTTAGCCGTTAGGTAGCTCAAACTATGTATACATTTAAGCATTTAAAAATACATATGTATATGTATATATGAATACATACTTTTGTTTTTTATAAATCATACATATATTCATACATTTTTATTGAATTTTAGTGTGGGTTGATTCACCAACCCAAGCTTGAGCCCAATCTCAGTGCATCAAATTTACGTTTGAGTTGGGCTCAGGTTGGACAATTCGAGCTATAGGTGGACATGAATTGAGTTTTTCACAAGCTATTTGAGCTTGGCTTGTTAAAAGCTCAATTCGGCTCGGTTTAAACCAAACTTCGAGTTGAGCTTGGGCCCAATAAAACTCAACTTGTGAGGCTTGCGAGTCTAATTGAGCTTATATATATATATATATATATATATA